GTGGTGGTACATTTACCACCAGCTCTGGGAGCCATGTGCACCACTAACTCTTGGAAGCAGTGGGTCTAGGCCTTCATCAAAGCAGTGTGTAGTCCAGAAACCATTTTTTTGTCTGCACTAGCAAAAGCTATATCCACTGTGCAGCTTGGAGACGCCTCTGTGTAAAGTGGCAGGAATCCACAATGCTGCAATCAAGCCCACATGCCACCACAAACATGCCATACCGTAGCTCATGGCTCACATGAGAGACAAAAATAGACACCTGCTTTTTGCTCCTTTTTAGAATTTTCTTTTTATAACTTTCTGTGGTTTTAGGTGGAAACTCTTGCTGTACATTGGGCAGCCAAATGTAGTTGGAAGTTTTCCTGTGTCCCAGCTGGCCAGCAATCAGGACAAATCTCTCCCACTCAGGCCCCCCAAGTAAATACGCAGAGGCTTATATTAATTATAACTGCTTGGCCATTAGGTTAGGCTTATTACTGACTAGTCCTTACACTTAAATTAAACCATATTTTAGTATGTTTAGCCATGTGGCTTGGTGCCTTTTCTCAGTTCTGCCTTGTCATCTTTCTTCCTCTGTGTCTGGCAGGTGAATCTCGACTCTGTCCTTCCTCTTTCCAGAATTCTCCTTATCTGCTTGCCTACCTATACTTCCTTCCTAGCTACTAGACAATCAGAGTTTTATATATCAACCAATCAGAGCAACACATATTCACAGCCTACAAAATAACATCCCACCACAAATATTTGGTGATTGGGGGTCAGCAATGTGAAAGATGTGCTGGTCTTTTCTCACACTGGAAAGCCTCTGAGTACTCATCTGAATGGATCTCAGCTGAACTGCTGCTAAAAGCCTAAAAGATTAATAAGCCTCTATCAAGTTCCTGGTCCTCATGCCTTATATAGCTTTCTAATTCCTGCCATCACTTCCTGAGATTAAATGCATGTGTCACCATGACTGGCTGTTTCCAGTGTGACTGAACTCTCAGAAATCTGGATGGATCTCCAGATTGTTAGGATTAAAGGTGTGTATGCCATCATTTTCTGGCCTCTATGTCTGTCTAGTTGCTGTTCTGTTCTCTGAACCCAGATAAGTTTATTATGGTGCACAATATATTTGGAGGAACCCAATATCACCACATTTCCCCTTTTTAGTCTAAATAATAAAGGTAGCTTATAACTAATAAAACAATGTTTATACAATATATACAGTCAAGAACTGCATTAACAATGTCTAGTCTATTAACATTTGACAGATTCAGACAAAAACTCCATTATATAAATTAACAATGTCCAGTCCATTAACATTTGACAATTTCAGACAAAAAATGGCATTACTTATTCCATTTAAAACAAGTAGTTCCTTTTTGTAATCGATTCAATAACCTACCTTTTTTTATCTTATCAGAGGAGGACTTAAGCCTGATGGTCTCAACATAAGAGTAACTTTTTGAGAATGCAAACAAGTAGGCAAAGGGTCAGTCTCACAAAAACCAGTAAGAGGGAACAGCATTGGAAAATGTTGGTACTTGGGTGCTGTGAATCAAGACATTGTGATTAAAGTTGCGGAAGACCATTGGAGCTTAGGAAGGAAAGAGAGCAGAGTCTGATCTGAGCCCTTAAGAAATATTTGACTTGAGTCTATGGACCTACCTTGAGATTATAGCCTCTCATTGTAACAGCATAAATGAATCTTTTCTTAGACCATACTGCTGATTTTGACTAATACTACTTTTGCATATTTGGGGTCTGCAATTGTTTATCCTTGTGAAATGACATGCTGTGACAAGTGAATGCTTATTTTTTTGGCTTGGAAAACACACAGGACAGGCAGAAAGCTGTGAGTAATAGAGGAAAAAAAACATTTTTTTTTCTTAAAGACTTTTCAGAAGTACTTGGCAAAAGTCCTGCACTGAGGAACAAAGAGAAGTTCCTCTTGTGGTGAGCTGGTGATAGTACTGATGTGGCAAACCCATGACAGGAAGGACCTGCCTCCAGGCTGAAAACAGCCTGTCTGATGTTTCTGCAGAATATGGTTAGGCTTCCCCAGGAGCACA